AAAAAAAAAAAAAAAAAAAAAAACCGTCAGTTGCATGAGGTTTTGTTTTCAAAATATTTTAGAGTGAACTATTGCATCAGAATGTTGGATAGAGCTCTTTATTTGTTAATTTAATAGGTGTTCAAGCTACGTACAGACTGCAGGTTTCATAGGCGGCGTGGCTTCTTCACTCATCCGCGTGCCAACAGAGGTAGTTATGCTTAATTGATCTATTACAGTACTCCGTCCATTCCTGCTGAGCTTGTTATTTGTTCATCGTCTCCAGGTAGTTAAGCAAAGGATGCAGACTAGCCACTTTGCTTCTGCATCGAATGCTGTCCACGTTATTGTTTCAAGGGAAGGTTTTAGAGGTCTTTATGCGGTAATAATACAATCATTTTGTTACCAACTTTTTGATTTATAATGTCATTCTTCAATGTATATCTTGCCAATTGACTGCATCAAAGATGTCTAATTTTCTTGAGATTAAATATCGATTGTTAAATACTTGCACACATTTTCCTGTTTCTTTTTTTGATTTTTCAGGGGTATGGATCTTTCTTATTGCGAGATTTGCCATTTGATGCCATTCAGTTCTGCATTTACGAACAACTTAGGATAGGGTACAAGCTAGCGGTAAGTTCACGTATGGATTACAAGTACTTAATGTAGAGTTGTTTTCTTTTCGTTCTTCCAGGAGGTAAAGTTTTCTTTGTGTTCTTCAACATTCCACTAAAGAAGTTCAGAGTACTGGGCTATTTGAAGAATGCCGTCAACCAATATTGACTTCTACTTTTCCATCCCTTGTTTATGCCAAGTTGAACTCTTAACCTTTCATGATCGATATACAATTTTGCTAATGGTGAATGAATGGAATACATCTGAATGCAGGCGCAAAGAGATCCAGATGATCCTGAGACTGCTATAATTGGTGCTTTCGCTGGTATATAATCGAATAACACTATTTCTTCTTTGGTTCAACGTGTTTCCATGAGAATTCCGGAAAAAATATGCTGAAATTCCACCAAGCTATTGTCTCTATTGTTAGTTTATGCATGATATATTTTAACCCTCTTCAGAGGTCGTGGGTAAATAATATATTATTTCATTTTGTCGAATATGCACGCTTAATGATATTCTTCCCAATATTTTTCTTCTTGTGTAGGTGCTATTAGTGGGGCCGTAACCACTCCTCTTGACGTGATAAAAACCAGATTAATGGTTCAGGTATTGGTCCATGAGCTGTTCCAACTTTTTGTTTGGTAAAAAACCAACTCAAGTGTCGACCCACTTTTCTTAACTTTTAATGTTACGCAGGGATCAAATAGCCAATACCAAGGTATTCATGATTGTTGTAGGACTATAATGAGGGAAGAAGGAGCACGTGCCTTTTTAAAGGTTTGTTCATTCTTCAGACCTACTGATAGGAAGGGAATTATTGTTTTCAAATTATAGATAAAGTTAATATTTTTGAACTATTTAATCGGTTCCATTTAGATGTCACTATTGACGTACGGCCCTACTAGTCTATGTAGGAGAGGCACATGAAAAAAAAAAAATTATTTGGGAAGGCTTAAAAGATGACTAACAATTTGTTTGAGCGCAAGTGAGAACTAGAAACCTATATTTCGAATTTGTATTAAATAGATGAATATTGGTAGATAGATTTAAACTGATGGAACAGTGAATGGTTATGTGAGATCTCACATCGGTTGGGGAGAAGAACGAAACCTCTCTTTAACATATACATTTTAAAAATTTCGAGGAGAAGCTCAATAAGGACAATATATGTTAGAAGTGGGCTTGGGCCCTTACAAATGATATCAAAACCGAACACCGGGTGACGTGCCAGTGAGAAGACTGAGCCTCGAAGGGGGTGGGACACAAGGACGCTGGGCCCTAGAGGGGGTAGATTGTGAAATTTCACATCGGTTGGGGAGGAGAACGAAACACTATTTATAAGAGTGAAAATCTTTCTTAGTTGATGCATTTTAAAAATTTTGAGAAAAAGTTTGGAAATGAAAGCACGAGGAAGAGAATATTTAATACATTTTTCATGCAGCTCTAAATTATGACATTATTCTATTCCTTGTTGCAGGGGATAGGGCCAAGGGTGCTATGGATAGGGTTAGGAGGCGCTTTATTTTTTGGCGTTCTTGAAAAGACAAAGCAAATGCTTGCTAGCAAGAGGCGTCCACCGCCTGAGAAAACCTTCGAGCCGTGAGGTTCACCTTCTATTTCGTCTTTAAATTTTAAGCACTGCACGGCTCAACTTCCTAATTTTATTTGTTAGACTAAATAAAAATAGTTTGATTTGTTTGCCTGTCATAATTTTCATTGCCAGCACCGAAACATGGGCCAGGTATCTCTCTAAACTTTCCTATTAAATTATAAGTTTAGCTAAATTATATCTATGTAGTCAAGTATCTAACATAATATATAGTTTTAAATTTATGTCTAACAGATTTTTAATAAATTAAATAAATTAAAAAATTAAAAAATTAATTGATCAACTAAGAAGTTAATGTTTCATGAAATCTCAAATTTTAATTTTGTATTCAATATATGCCTAAATCTTAAAAAGAGAGTTGAGAGGCTAAATCCTAAATTTACAATTATTAAAAATTGAAATTTCACTGAGCACAGTATCTTGTGAATGAGGAGACATTTTTACCCTTAGAAGGATCCCTTAGGAAGTTGATTCAAACACACTAATAATATTAGAACTGGTTAATGAAAGCTGGTGCTTCTGGTTGCTTGTTACTTGTAGAATGTAGAAGCTGCCAACTCAGGAACTGCAAACTCGTCTTCTTATATGGACCGAACATACTGAATTCATGGAAAAAGGTACTAAACACTTAGCTTTCTAACCCTGACAAACTTTTAAAAATCTACTATTTTTTTTTTTCTCCAAGCTTTAAAATATTTTTGTTTTCATTTTAGATGTCTGAGTTTTTTTTAAATTATTCATTCTTAGTCTTTAAATTTTTATACTTAATTACTTTGAACATGCTTTTAACTATTTAAAAAGAATTTTTATGAAATGAAACTTGCCATAAAAAGTGTAAAATTGTCAAGTAGATTTTGAATGTTTAAGATGTCAAGTAGATTTTGAATGATTAAAGACATGCCGAGTGATATAACACTAATGATTTTAACCATTTCAAAATCTCTTTCAAACACATCCTTAGATTAAACATATCCTTAGATTAGTAGATTGGCTAAGATAGTCGCTAATATTAATAAAATTAAAAATATAAATGATTGTGTTTTCTAAAGTTCATAAATTAAATAGATTAATTACAAATTTGGTTCTCATATTCGAAAGAAATTAGATTTAAAAGTATTTAACTTTCGATGTTTGTAGAAAACTTGAAGCATGTAACAGATTCCATTACCCAAAATTTAGACACCCTCAAAAAGGCAAAGGAGATTAGAATGAATATGGATATAAACTCATAAGTTATTCTGATTGAGCATTGACGATGAAGTACTCTTTTCTTCCTTTGTTAGGAAAAACCCTTGAAAACTGTTATACTCTACAATCACACAATCATTTCTCTAGTAATGAAAAGTCATAAAATAAAATAAAATAAAAAACCGAACTAAACTAAACTAAACCAAACCAACCCAAACGATATCAGACCACAATCCTCTTTGGCAATGCAACTAATCTTTGCTTGGGAAGTCTAGACTTCATCTTCTTCTGAAATAAAAAGCAAATAAATACCAAAACAACCGCCAAGAAAATATACGCCTCATAGTAGTGTCCCCAAATATAGCCCACAAAGTTCACCCCATGGCCACCGTAGCAATCACAGTTTTGCATTACTTTTCTTTTGGTTGTGGTGTCGGGATCCAGAATAAAGTCCACAGACATAGCTCCCTCCTCCAACCAGATGCTCGTGTTCTTCGACTTGTACCCGGGCATCGACGCACTTACTGCAGAAACATATAATCATTCTGCTGTCTACCCCCAGAACTTTAGGATAAAAAACTAAAAAAATCGTCATACTTAACCAACAATGATATGAGTTAACGCAACAACTTTAAGAATGCTATTTTAAAAAACCAACTCATGTTTTGAAAATTAAGAAAAATAGTCTTCAAAAATTGTTTTTGTTTGTAAAATTATTAAGAATTCAAAATGTTTTATTAGGAAAGATGAGAATCATGGTAGAGAAATAATGAGAAAACCAGCACAATTTTCAAATTTAATTAATTGTTTAAAGTGTGTTAGGATAATATTTTATAAATCATAAAACTAATTGTAGTTATCAACTAAATATTAGGTTAAATATCAATTATTATTAAATAATTTATGAACATGTTTAATGCTATAAATATTATGTTTTTTTAATTTAACAAAAAATGGTTTATAATTTCGAAATACTATATCATCTAGATACCCTCGACACTTAAAACTAATTTTCAAAGTTTTTAATATTTTATCACAAAATTTGAAAACAATTTCAAATGTATATTTATTGAACTCAAAATATAAAATAAAATTCAGATTGACAACCAAACGGGCAAATAAACTTCTCCGTAGGTTTGATTGGTGGGGTTTTGGGAATTATGGTTTCAAATTAGGAGAAGTTCTGTTCCATCTAAGATTCAAATTTCTTCTCTGCTAGATATTAGGTTCAATCCTTTACGGTGTTCTTGTTTGAGCATTAGTTTATACTTCCCAAGGGAGAAGAGGTTGGTAACTTTTCCTAATACCACCAACTAATTTTGAGTGCTTGACAAAAGGAATTTTAAGTATTAAAAAAAAGTGTTCATAAGTTCTTATGTTATGCCTAGGTGCTATGACATGTTTCAAGTAACTGCTTATAAAATTCATCTTAACCTAAAGTCTAGTATTAACAAATTCCATGCATGGCGAATTTTAACATGATTGAATGAAGAAGATCATGGCTACATAGAAACAGTTGAGGGAAAGAGGATTGATCGGTAGGTTAGAAGCACTTACCTTCATATTTCTGTTTTGGTGCAGCTAAACGATGGTAGACCCCCAGCGTTTCGCTAGCTTTAACCTGTCGATTAAATTTAAGAAAATTTCGTCACCCCTCTGGTTTTCTTCTATGATTATAGTTTTAAAAAGATATGAGATTCACAAAATAGCAGACAGTACTTAAGTTCAAATAAAAATGGTCGTTGATCATATTTCAACAACAATCATCACGAGATAGATTGGGTTCTCCCTCACAGTTTCACTATGTTAATAATCTATATTTTTACCATATGCCAATCAAAACGAGCAGCAGAAGGAATCAAAAAATTACACACAAGATATTTGTGAATTACCTTTCTAGTTCTTAATATCATCTAAACTCAATCCAACCATCCTTCACCTCTATATACTTTTTTTTTTTTTTTTCTTTGAGCTTATTTGGTCAAAGTCTAATTTTTTAGTAACGATAGATTTCATGACCTGAATTATCTGATGTGAGATTCAAAGGAATCAAGTTTTTTTTGTCATTTGTAATGCATGCTTCAATGCAATATAGACGTGCCGGATAAGGCAAACGGAGAAAATTTGAAGATTTGAAAGTACCAAGTAATCTATTCCCTTGAGTGTAATGGTTCCAGGTAATGGCCTTCCACTCTCTGATGAGAAAATCCTTCCATGAATTCCTGTCTGAATATAATATATTAAACAATTCAAGGCGAGAGAAGTCTGCACTGTATTCTTAGACGCAAATGCAACTGAAAGACAAACAAAGTTGTACCTGAGCAAGGCTCGCAACGAGATTAAGCATGCTCAACTTGTTATACTCAAAGATGGTAGCAAGCTGCACATATGTCAAAGAGGAAAACCATTTTATGAATAGTAATCAGATGAAATAGCAGTTAGGTGAAAGGCAAAGGTCACTAAAATTGTGAGCTGGAGAACGAAGCATTCATTATAAGGGTGTGGAAATATCTCCATAGCAAACACGTCTTAAAAACTTTAAGGGGAAGCCCAAAAGGAAAAACCCCAAGAGGACAATATTTACTAGTGGTAGGCTTGGGCCATTACAAATAGTATTAGAGCAAACACATTTTAAAAACTTTAAGGGGAAGCCCAAAAGGAAAAGCCCCAAGAGGACAATATCTACTAGCGGTGGGCTTGGGCCATTACAAATAGTATTAGAGTTAGAAACCGGACAATGTGCCATCGAGGAGGCCGAGCTCCAAAGGGGGGTGGACACGAGGCGGTGTGCCATCAAGGATGCTAGGCTCTGAAGGGGGTGGATTGGGAGAACCCATGTCAATTAGAGAATGGAATGAGTGCTAGTGTCCCGTTGGGCAAAGGGGGTGAATTGAGAGATCTCACATCGGTTGGGGAGGAGCTATGAAACATCCTTTATAAGGGTGTGGAAACCTCTTCCTAGCAGACGTGTTTTAAAAACTTTGAGGGGAAACCCAAAAGAGAAATCTCAAAGAGGACAATATCTGCTAGCGGTTGTTTTAGGCCGTTACAAAAATCTACACAAGAAAAAAAATGACTACCGATACTTTCTAACCCTCTACGCTTCAATGAAAGTAACGGGTAACAAGTCTTTTGTTCGTTTCTATTGAAGCAAGGATGGATTGAACTCAGTTCAAACCTCATTAGCAGGAGGCCATTTGTTGTCTGTAATCTCTAAAGTCAACTCAAAACAGCCACCGTGTATATAGTTCCAGTCTTGCATGCCACCATATATAGGGTACCTGCACAAATGTTTCATAAATTCCGAAAAGTATTTTAAAAGAGAAATTCATTAATTTCAGAACCGTGACGCATGGATACCATTTTTAAAAATAATTTTTCCAAGCATTCATTGCCATACCACGAAGCTCCATTTGTAATTCCTCCTTCAAATTCTTGGCTTAAAGACATGTTATGATGTGAGCGACTATAGACACTAGCCATGAACCGGAATGTTTGATCATCAGGACATGCATAGTAATCTTTCCTGAAAAATCAATTTTAGAATGTGTAAAGAGAGCAAGTAACTGAAATATTAACCAACACTAAGTAATGCATGTTGAAAAGCATAATTGAATGGAATAAATAATTTTTACAATATTATTTTAATTTACCCAACAACTTTTGTCGCCACCATACTGATTGGCCTGATTTTTTTAGCCTCATTAGCCTTTTTGGAGGTCAAACAAAAAGAGTTCCGTTTATTCTCATCTATACTTCGAGTCTTAAAGAAGAAATTAAAGCAAACCAATTCCTCAGGAGCCAAAGACAAAAGACGGTCATAATTCCTCGAGGAAAAAAAAAGTCCTCAACTGACATTCAGCACAGATAATGAATGAGAAAAAGTGATATGATAGAATAAAAAAAACACACACACAAACATTTTGACAAAATAAGCACCGCATAGAGAAGAATAATTGAGGAAAAATGATCAAGAAATGAGATCTGAGTCCAGGTTCAATTAGTAGTCCGTAGTCACTGAAGCAAATATATATATGTATATTATATATATACGGACACAAAAATAAAGCATAAAAGATGTGGCGATACTGGGAAAAAAACCAAAGTGAAAAAGAAAATCTTTCTAGCAATGAAGGAAAAATTTTAATAATAAAATTATCACCTTTTATCTGCAGTGCCATCCCATGGGTAATTTGCAACAAGTGCACCCTGTACAGGGTAAAGACATCATGAAAACTTCTTTTATATGTTTCTTAACACCGCATTCATTAGTCAAACTTAGAATATAATATCAATACATCAATGTCTAGGAGACGCGAACAGTATTTAAAATAATGAACAAGATATCTTTTAGGTTCTTCTTAATTTACTTTAGTTTTGGGGATAAATATTAATTTAACAACGGATGGTTCTAAATTGATTGTTTCTAATGGGGGAGAGACTTCTCATGGTAAGGAATATGCATAAATAATGTCCAAATGATACTATTCCAGAGTTTATAAGAACGACTAGTCAGAAAGATAAGGCGGTAAAAGAAGACAAAATTAGGTCTTATGACTCTTACCCCATGCAAAGTGGCAGAGGCAGTGAAATGTATGTCTCTCATCCACTTCATAATTGCCTTCGTTTCAGGTTGCCGTGCATATTCATCATCATTGATGAAAAAGAACTGACATTAAATGTACAGTTAATCCCTGCTTAAAATGTATAACATCATAATATTGGTTTTGGCCATTTAATGCAGAAAAGCAATTGATCCCAGGAGAAAAAAAAAAAGAGTGAATCAAAGTAAACTGAACAAGGTGCAACGACAGAAAAAGAATTATAGAATAGTTGACGAGATTAAGACACATATTCTTTTTTTTTTTTTTTTTTTTAATATGAGAAGTTAAACAATTTCATTGGTAAATGAAATAAAATGGAGTGTAACCTCCAGGACCTAAAGGTGAAATACGAAAAGAATGTGATTATCATCCAAAATCATAGATTTGGAAAAACAAATAGAGATTATTATCAGAATTAGTCAAATAAGGAAACAGATATGGCATCGGAAAATAATGATCATTGAATCTTATGGACAAACAAAGAAAACAACTGAATCAAATTCACATGTCGCCCAATGAGACACTAATGTGAGGAAGAGAAAAATCACTCCAAAGTACATTTTGGGCAACAACCTTCTAAGACTATGCAACAAAAAGACTGGGAAATAACAAATGATGAAATTATTCATATACTGATGCCCATTTCCAACTTTTCAAGCAAATGCAAAGCGGTGCAGTGATAGGAAAAACATTCTCTTGGAGGATTGATGAACTTATAGAAAGCACGCCAAGGTTAACAGATAGCTTAATCACTTAACACCCTTTTTGTTTCAGTAAGAGCCTAATCATTTGATATCTTCAGATGAACAAAAACAATAATCACGATAGGCAAATATATATACTAAAATGAAAATGCCTTTTCATATCCAAGTGAGCAAATATGGAACTTGAGATCAATAAGCTGTGCAAATAACACAGCTGGACCAGGCTATTACTACCAATTATTTATTACTATTTTTTCAATGACAAACCAACGGGAAACAACTATAGAGAAAGGCTCATCAAAAGAAGACCTCTACCAAAACAGGAAAGAAATCAAAAGATTTGCAACAAAGAACTTAATATTACCTACTAATTTTTGCATCGCATCTACTATATGAATGTGAATTTGAAACATATTAAATGCCTAATCTTCCGTAGATCTTTCCTATTAATTAGGTTTCTTATTTTTCACATATGATATGCTTTACGACCATTGAATATCCCATAACTTTCCACTTCAAATTACTCATCCAATCTTGTATCAAAATGACATGGACTTGCAAAATAAAACCTATTCTTCAGTAGTATCAGAATTCAATCAAAAGTAGGGAAAGCCTGCTAAGACTTCAATTTACTCGCACATAATAAATTAGGATGCCAACAAATGTACCTGGTCAGGGAAATCTCTGTTTAGATCCACATTGTTTGCATTATTACGTGTCCGAAGAGAAAATCCATCCGGATTCATAGATGGAAGTATATGAAGATGAACATTCTCCACAATCAGTGTAGCCTTCAGAAATAAATTAGAACTTTGGGATGAGACAAAGTTGCAATAGCACAAACTACACAGCAAGGGAAATTAAATATTGCATCTCATAAACAATCAGAAAAGCATAACACAGGTCTTTTGAATAGACAGCATTGGCTTTTAGATAAATAAAAGGATTATTTCTTCGAATTTGTCCTTCTGTATTATACCAAACCATCTGAACTAAGATCCCAAATAAAAACCAACTGCAACAATCAACTAGCACTATGATAAGGGATTCATCCAAAAATTGAGTCACTGAAACATGTCATATTGAAACCTTCATTCCATTAAGCTCACATTGTTCCGCTGTTGCATAAAAATATACAGTTTTTTTTAAGATAAAAAATATAACATGCAAAAATAAATTAACAACTAGGTTATAGACATGGCACAAATAAGGCAAGAATAAAACAAGAATGACTTAAGGAACCACGATGGATGATATATGTATGGCATAAACGCATGTCAACTGGTGCATATGACTGATGGTGGATATGAAAGCATGAAAACTTAAAAGATGTATGTAAATGAAAAAGAAAATTATATAAGTTACCAATGGATCCTTCAGGTAATTATCACATATCCAGTTTGCAAATTGCAAGAGAAGCTCCCTGCCAACAGGTTCATCTCCATGTACATTTCCTATGTACTGCAATATGAAATAAAATCATTTACAACCTCCTCGAGTAAGTCCACAGGTGCTCCAATAATTATACAAGATTCAATTCTACACTAAATACATACAGATAAACAGATACTAACGAAATGCACAGGGTAAAAAGCAAGAAAGAATGGTTTTCTTTTTAAATGGTACTTGCAGTCAAAGAACAACTATTATATCAACAGTAGACCAGGAAAGAGTCGAATGACTAATAAACAGGAAATTTAGCATGGACGCATGCTTTACCAAATGATCATGGCATATTGTTATAGCCACATAGAACAGGCAAATAGAGACAATACTGTTAGTGTACTCGGACCTTAAACAACATACAATGCTTTTATTTCATTTTATACTACAATTGCATATTTAAAATTATCTATCACTCATACAGAAGGAAGAAAAAAAAAGAATTCACAAATTAAAAAAAGTGTCAGGTGTGTGGATTGGCGGACAGGTGTGACTATTATACGCAAGTAGTAAATCAGTCACCTTAAATGCAGGTTCCGCTTCTTCCTGGCCAGGCTTGTCAGAAATTTCGATAACCCACTATTACCAATCAGATGACAGCACTTCATCAGATATTGTATATTTCAACTTAGCGTTGATATTAGGGAGACAAGAATTAGAAAAAAACAAAAGAACTAACATTTTGGAATGATTACCAGTGGAAACCCTTGCACGCTGTCTCCAATACTGATCAAGCAACCAAGAGAGAGGAAAGGAAAGCGAGAGAGAAATCAGCACATAAATTAGGCCTTCTTTGCATGGTAAAAAGGAAATCACAACTCTTGGAATTACCTGTATATCTTAGAAATTTTACTACATTTTTTACCAAAAGCTTTAACGGCCCGTTCAAGCTCTTTATTGGTCATATAACCTTGCATGATCTTGTCACTGAACAAATTTTGAAATGTTTCAAAACTCAAAATAACATACAGAAAACAAAATTAAAATAACCACAAGATACTGGAAATCTCCATGGACTAGCTACCTTCGTTTAGAATTATTGTCCTCGAGTAAAAATCTAGCAGAACCTCCATATGCAAGACTAACGAAATCTACAGAATAACATCGATTAAAAACTACAATCAAATTCTATTCAAATCATCATAGACAATAATCGAACATCCGAGCCGTACAAAACCTAAAGTACCTGCATGACAAAGGAAGACGGAACGAAAATCTAGAATAAGAAAACGTCAACTAATGAAAGCTACCGCATAAAAGAATTCAACACCGATTTAAAGACATTCAAACTCAAATTAAACGATCAAACACAATAATCCAAAGACCGAGACGCGCAAGTTAAGATACATAGCAAAGAAAGAACAAAAGAAAATTGAGAACGATAAAGAATACTTGCTCTTTCCTCGTCTCAATTCTCAAAGAAAACAAATCAAAATGTCATGTATGAACATGAAGAAAAAAAACAGATTCCAGTGTGGAACTAAATAAACTCGCAGAGAATTTTCCTCATTTAAAATCATCAACTACGCAATCACACCAATCTCTCAGCTGCCAAACGGAAAGCATCGAATTCGAATATGCACAAACAAAGAAAACTAAACATTACGTCAAAAACAAAGCAGAAACCTGGCGAAATGGAGCGATTGAGGCCGCCTCGAGCGAGTGCAGAGTGAAACAAAGCTGGAGAAACAACAGAGAGAAGTAAGAACGAAAAGAGAAACTTCATTATTCTTCTCCTTTCAAGCAATCGGAAATTTGGAGCGTATTGGTACTTCCGATTTTTTGTGGTCGGTGATCTGAAGACGGAAACACTGAAATCTGAATTTTATTCTATTTTTATCATCGCCGGGCCGAAGAGGAGAGTCGATCACGACTCACGAGTGATAAGCACGTGACAATGACTCGCGCCATGTTTTCGACTTTCCTCCGCTTTTCTATTATTTCGATTATTGTATCGTATTTTGACTTTTCCCATATATTTTAATTTTAAATTCTAAATTTCAAAAATTTAAAAATTAAAATTTTATTAGGTATAAATTAAATTTCGTTTAACCTAATAAATCAAATAATTTTTAGAATTTTTTTAAGTTGAGAAAAATGAATTAAATATAAAATTGAAAGACACCAAATTAAAATTTAAGACCACAGGATTCATAAATTAAATAAACTCACGTTCTAATTTAATCTTTTAATTATACTTAGTTTTTCTCTAAACTAATAATTATATAAATTTAAAATTTGAATTCGTACCATTTACCTACGCTATTAAATTATATTTAAAAAAATTAATATATATTTCGAACTTACCATCGTATCAATTAAATTAAATTTATGATGTTTATAAACAAAATTTGGGCATGTTCTTTAAAAATGCTTTAAAACAAATTATAACTAAACTTTAGAAATTGAAAAAAAGCGTATTAATTATCCACATTAAAATAAAATAAATAAATAAATAAAACAAGGTATTTAAATTAATTTGTTTTTTTTTTTTAATGATGAAAAATAGGAGCCGTGACGAACTTGAATGGTGAAGGCAAAGTTAGGATAGGATACCACTTCATCCAGTAACCCTTCCTTTTTCAACAAGGAACCTAATTCCAGCTAAATGTGGAGGCCTACAGTTCTAGTGCTTATTCTAACATATAATCCTAACTCTCTATATACATAATATATATATATATATTAAACTTTATTAAAACTTTATTGTATGTAAAAATGTGTGTGCATATATACATAACAAAAACTATACAAATATTTCTTATTGTTCGTTTTTAAAATCTAGATTGATTTTGTATATAAACAAAATTAAATATTTATAGAAAGTAAATAGCAAAACATGACTGAAAAGTAATATGGATATTTAATTTTTTTTTTTAAATTAACTGATAAATACTACCATTTATCACATTCAGTGTCACACTCTAAGCCAACATTCTTGCACCCGTATTATTGAGATGCTATAAAAGAACATCTCGACACTACAAATACGAAGTTCACATCTCGTTTGATACTCGAATAGTGTCAAGACACCTAGCTCAATGATGGGAATCACGCACACACATAAATCATTTGATTCATTATAATTAGAAATCTCGAGCATTCATTAGATCCGGCCCCTTGGAAAAACAATACATGCCACAAATCCCAATCTCCAAACATTCGTACTTTATTTCTATACAATGCTAAGTTCTCATAATGTAGACAAACTCTTAGGAAGTAGAGAGAAACTAAGAGAAGTACATTCCTATATGTAAATGAAACCCTACAACAGCTAACTCATGTACACAACCACTACAATACACACATCTCTAGCTACATGGAAGAATGTGATCCAAAGAATGGAATTAAATACAAGATATCAACAAAGCACACGAGCCACATGATCTCCAAACATAACCTTAATTGTTAACCAAATAATCTTGGTTTGGTGAAAGATTAAGCTCATTGGAATTATTACCTTGCAAAGCTTATTGCTTATCTTTGTTGATTGGTAAAGGAACCCTCCATGCACGTATTGAAGCTTGTTACGATGCATACGAAAGATCAGATAAAATTTTCGGCATCCATTGCTGCTTCCCCATTTTCGATCTCTGCGTCTGTGAATGTTAGAGCTCGTTGTAGCTTACGGGGACAGAAGACCTCGACCTCGGCCACGTAGGTGGCTGTCACTGGTCTATGATCAGAAAATTTAATTTCAGTCCTCCTATAACTGCACAGCTTCAATCCCTTTCCATATGAAAGTATGCGGTCACACCTGAAAATGCAGAAAATAAACATTAAATGTGATGCATGAGATTTGTTATCATAAACATTCCGAAAGAGTATTTTAAGAACTGAGGGTAAGCGGAGATCTCTCTTCCTAGTTTGTGAAAATTCAATGGTTAAATTTTATATTTTAAAGAAGCACAATAAATTTCAACAAATACGAATATTTTAAGAGGATATCCCGAAACTATTTGTGAGATCCCACATTGGTTAGAGAAAGGAACGAAACATTTCTTATAAGGGTGTAGAATCCTCTCCCTAATAGACGCGTTTTAAAACTGTGAGGCCAACAGCGATTATAACGAGCCAAAACAGATAATATCTGCTGGCAATAGGCTCGAGCTGTTGCAAATGGTGTCAGAGCCAAACACCGAGAGGTGTGTTAGCTAGGACGCTGAGTCCCCAAGGGAAAGTGGATTGTGAGATTCCACATAGGAGAGAAACAAAACATTGATTGTAAGGGTGTAAAAACCTCTCCTTAGCAGACACATTTTAAAACTGTGAGACTGGCGGCGATACATAACGAGCCAAAGGCGGATAATATCTGCTAGCGGTGGGCTTGGGATGTTGCACTATTCAAATCAAAGTCGTCCTTTAAACAAAACCATATTGCCAATGAACTCATAACCGTTTCCTATGTTCAGACAGTATTCCGACATTGTTGTCACTCCTGTATCCTCATTTTACTGTTCCCCTCTCTATTTAGGAATCGAACACAGGCGAGCGAAAATAAATTACAGCATAAGACATCATTTACACACAAAAACATGACATCAATGCATTGGTAGATTGAAAATGGAATATCCTCTACAACTAAACAAAATAAGACGCTGAAATCAACATGGACCATGATAATAAAATCTTACCATGCTGGAGTCCGCCGTCCAACTTTTGGATCCTCACCGTAATACTTTTCTGAATTGATCTCGTATTTATAGGTTGGTGGGAAATTAAGGTTTCCCTCAGTCCATCCATCAAATGCACGACCCTTCTTAAGTTCCCTCGATAACTGAAAAAATATAGGCTTAACAAGTAACATTTTGAAGATACACAGCTTAACACAATGACTTGCTTAAATCATTTCTCATCCCCTTGTAACAACATAATAAAAAGCAATTGTTTTTTCCAGCTTAGATCTTATTGTCTGCGGAATCCCGGCTTTTGATCACAAACTTCAGTTTCCAAAGAATGGAACAAAATGGAATTCGATTGAAGTGCCTTGAACATGGCTTTCAATCAAGTTACATACTACATTTTCAGTAAAAGAAGTCTTTTTTTTTTTTTAATAGTTCATTAATGAAACGAAAGAATAAGGGCATGTTTGAGAGAGAGTGATTTGAGAATGACCAAAATCATTCCAAACAAGCCCTAAGAAAATATAGGAATGCGTGTAGTTCAGGAGAAGTCTATTTTGAAGTTAGTTGCTGCATATGCACTCTAAGACATTTTCATTACGAAAGTACCTGATCACTCTCAGCCAATTTGGACCACTCTTTTCTCGAGATAAGATCTCTTGTCTTCTCATAAGGCAAGTTGATACGATAATTTAAATCACCCAACCAGATTATCCGCCTGCAAAGAAAAGAGAATGAATTGTCGAAGTGTTGGGTACAATTTGTAGTTCCTAGTACTACAACGATTTTGAGTTGAATATAAATAGAAGTTTTTATTCATCAACCTAAAGCATTATCAAGGACAACCCATGAGACCAGCTAAACATACAAGGACTGATCAATAATCTCCAGAAAAAACTCAAGATGATAGAACATGTACTGTATCAAAGCCTAGCAAACACGGTATAGGGGATGTGCTGTAATACCGTAACTTTGGAAAATAGGGAAAGAATATCTGGTACTTTATTACATTGTTTGTTTTAACTTGAGATGTTGTGGTACTTTACCTTCTAACTAAGACTATTCTGAGAATCTTATAACTGTTGGAATAAGCATGTAGTGAACTTTTATTCTACATTTTTGGACAAGAAATAATTATTTTCAAAAACAGAAATATGTACTTGGGAGGGACTGAAAGTCCAAATTCAATATAAACAAGAAATTTCAAAAAGCTGTCTAATTAGTGCATAACAAAAGAAGAAAAGTACAAAACTCTTCAAGTAACAATCTTGCAAACTATGCACAGGTTACCTACGAAAATAAATCTATCAATAGGAATATAGAAAAGGAAAGGAGCGTCTTCAATGACCTATTCTAGGATCCAAAGGAAGAGAATACACAGTATGACACAAATTAGAAAGCTGGGGCAGGGGGCTCTATCTCAAATAAATACTAGGAGATCAAGAAAATGACAGATAGAAATCAATTGAGTAGGCCCTAAACAGTAGCTTGCCTTGTGTAAATTGAAGCCCCTCCCCCACGTGATCCTTAAAATGTGCTTAAGACCCTAAGAATATGAGCCGGAAAATTATGAACATCTACCCTGTTCAATCCCTTCTCTGAAAAATTATAAAAATTAGAGCTTAAAAATAATGCACCAATGGCCATGTCAGTCTTACGGGGAAAATGGATTGTTCATATTTAAGCAGGAAAATACTACTTCAATGGCCATGTCATGTTTACAGGAAATATGGGTAGTGAACGTGCAGGATAGAAGAAGCAGCTAAAAAAACCCAATTAGATATGAAGATATTGGTAGGCATTTTGTATGTACTTACTCGTGATCGTGGATAACTTTAGTTAACCCAATACCATTAAGTGGATGGAATTGAGTTCTTCGGTGTATTTCGCTCACATCAGCATTTCGTTTAAGTTCATCTCCATCCTTCTCACCTGATGTAAGGTGTGTGCATATAAAGCAAAATAGGGTCTGGTATATGGACATGCTGACAGATATGGATCCCTGAACAAGTAGATGCTTTGATAAAGAGACTACTAGAACTATAAATACATGACGCATTATGTAGACCAGAAAATTGTTTTTGGCTTGATGTAAAAAGAAACAAGCCATGGCAAGCAGAAGAAACTTCAAACCTATCTATTCATTTAAAATTGCATTGCATAAGAACTCTAGCAGAAAGCCAAAACAACATGAAATATGTGG